TCCCAAGTAGCTGGGACCACAGGCGCCCACCTGGCTGGCTATTTTTTGGTTGCAGCCATCATTTTTGTTTGGCGGGCAGGGCTGGATTCAAACCTGCCACCTTAGGTATATGTGGCTGGCGCCTTAGCCACTTGAGCCACAGGCGCCGAGCCAGAACCTCTTCTTCTTGATAAAATATCTCATGAAAAGGAAAAAAAAATATCCAACATATTCAATACCATTATGCAACCAATATATAAATACACAGTCATACGGATTAGAAAACACTATTATAGTCTATTATGGGGGAGGGGTGAGGAGGGAGAAAGGAGGGAAAGGGTTTAGGGCAATTGGTGGGAAGAAGGAGGGCATTTGGTGGAATCTCAACTAATGTGTACAATGCAAGTTTGTATTTCAAAGTAACTAAGAATATATTTTAAATGTCTTACCACAAAAAACAAGTGAGGTCATGGTTAGGTTAACCAGTTTGATTTAAGCACTCCACATTATATATCAAATCATCACATGTACTTACCACAGAAATATATACAATTATGATTTTAATTAAAAATTAATTTAAAAAATTACCTCTATATTCCTCATGCAAGTGCTATGAAAGTTTTTTTGAAGCATAGGGATATTTATCTAGATATAAGAATAGAATACAAATTTCAATATTTTTAAAATGATTTTTATTGAATTTATGGGAACATTTCAGATATTAAATTTCACTGAATCTCTGGAAACACCTGGTAGGACTTTGTCTAGCCCTCCAATATATATTTGCTATTTTTGTTAGGATTCTGTTAACCTGGAATCTGTTAACAATATTCTTATCTGTGGAAATGGATGATAAGAAAGTGAAAACATTTTCAAATGCTGACTCAGTACAGATCAAGGCCCTGATATTTTGATGGTCAGTTCATAAAAGCATACTATAAACAGAAGTTTCCTCTATCCCCAAGGGTGTTTTTTTTACTGGTAAATCTTATTAGTTTATGTTCCTTTCTGCAATTCCATCTAATGTTACTAAAATTTATGTTCATGCAGTTTTTTTTCTCACTTTGTTAGTCAAATTACTAAGTTTTAGAAGTTACATTTTAAAATGAATTCATCCCATCTTCATTTAATTCCCAAGAAAGTTGCATGAATGCTGTCTAAATTCAACAAAATTGTTGAAACTACTCCCGCATATGGGACACAGGTATTTCCAACCACTATTGGTGCTTATGATCACAACTCTCATGTTATGGTGAGATCTTAAATGATCTTCAAAAGCTTTTCTATTGAATGTGTTTTGAATTTGGGTCCGAGGAACATAGAATACAGGCCTCACAAAAATGTGAAACCCATCCTTCCATTTGGTATCCATTGATTTGTAAAATTTTCCTGATGTCATTCTTTCAAGGAGGGGACGGTAGTAGTATACCCTTAAAGGCCTTCCGAATATTATTGCTCTCTCACCATGGATGAGGACATTTGGGCGAGGAAGAAATGCTATATATTTTTGCTTTACCCACAAGGTATTTGGACGAACTGTAGCCTGAGAGAAGTGTCTCCCACAGAGAAGACGAAGAATCATTCTTCTTATCTCATAATTATTAATGAATGGGATTCTCCATGAAATTGAAAGTTGGAGAGGAATTTTGTAATTTATGCCACTATGACGGAAATCACTTGCTTTTATATCCATGTTCCCTGAGTAGAATCTTGATCTATCAGCTAATGTATTGCTTTTATCAATTTTTACTAATGGAATACTCATAGATGTAATTCTCTCTAATCCTGACATAAGAAAAATCCATTTTCTAGGAATGGGTATCTGAATTAGAAGAGACTCTTCTTCTTTTCTATCTTCTTTTTCAATGTCTTTTTGAATCTCATCCACCTCAAGGTCAATGTTTTCTGCTTCTGGAGGAACAACATCCTCCTGGGTTGTTGATGGACCTGGTTCCCTATTGGTTGGGTTTGTCTCCACCTGAGAGATAATATTGGGATCTACAGATGGAGGCTCTATGTCTATACTGCAGTCATTTGGAGCCTCATTTTCAGAATTTTTGAGAGCACTATCACCTGGATCACTTACTTCTTTAGTAGGAGAAGTCATCCTGGGTTCTATTTGTGAAGGAAGAAGAAAAATGTTTATTAAATTGAGGAATGTTTAACCTTTCCTTATAAGAAGTCAGTTCCTTAGGTTAGCAAAAAGCATGTGGTGTGCTATTCCTGTGTTTTCTCACAATCACATATATTTTTTTTTAGAGTTACAAGCCCACAAAATAAAATAAGGTACAGTTAAAACTAAAAGCAAATATAACTCTTCTATTAAATACATATTCTTATTACTTAGTTATAGAATTAGTATAATTAAGTTATAATTAAAGTTAAAATAACATAACCTCACATTTTGCTGTTTTAGAAATGTACTCGGGCAGCACCCGTGGCTCAAAGGAGTAGGGCACTGGCCCCATATGCCGGAGGTGGCGGGTTCAAACCCAGCCCTGGCCAAAAAAATGCAAAA